TAAGTCGAAGTCAACCAGTCTACTTGTTCGGTTCGCGAGAGCAGTGTTCAGCTGCTGTTGGCGAGATTCTATCGGTGTGTTTCCGAGAATGTGTTCATGGACCATCTGCTCCCTGTCTTGGCCTGCTCGTATCACACCAAGTGTATCAACAATTACTTGTGGGGTGCGGTCGACGATACTTTGGTTTATTACACGCTGCCACTGGTGCTCGTGTATCCGTTACTGGGTAAGCATATTCTGGATCAACCTTTCCTTCCCATCTATAGTTCATATGCACTGATGCCTCATTTACATAAATTCTCAACTTGCTGTGAAGTGGAAACCATTTTCAAACAAATCTCATGTAAAGTCTCATTTGATTAATTTATCATTCTTCATTGGTGACGTTGTATCGATTCATCCTTTGCAGCTCTCCTGTACATTTGGAGCCTCTGGATAAACAATCGGATCACGAGAAAGGCACCAAAAAGTCCTCTTCAAAACAAACAAACGATTCACCAGACCGTATCATTGTTGTACGGGGTGAACTAGCTGCCATATGTGCTGCGGAAGCGTACATCAGCGAGCAAGTTCGAATGATCATGGCTCGGGATTCGGTCCCAATTTGTTTGTGGCCATTGCTACCCCATTTACCTCCGCTTGCGTCTTCACCACAATCTCATTCCGCCACTTTAGCCGCAGCCTCGGCTGCAGCAGCAGCGAACTCGGTTGGTCCATCGCTTGATCTGCCTACATTGAACCGTTTGGCTCTTTGTGTGGCACTCATGTTTTGGAGTCCAAGTACATGGAACAAATTACTGAGTTACGTTCCATTCGGTTCAACTGTCCCCAAGGTTGGAAACACTGCCCCTTTGTCTCGATCACCATTGAACGTGACAGATCAAAGACGAACGCGGTCAGTGGATCGTATCGATGGAGAGAAACGGCATTTGAGTGATCCATGTGCCGGAAGTCCAGTCGCATCTGACGCAACTGATTCCACAGTTGAACATGCTAGCCTTCCACCTCCAGAAACTCGATCCACAGTCGAAACAACCGAGGATGCCACGGTTCCTGAAACTGAAGTGACAGCTGTAGAACAGCCGGATGATGAACTATTGGATCACAATGTAGCCGTAGACGAGGCACCACCTGCACCCAAATCACTTCTCACAGCTACCCCTAATGACCTAGACGTGGATCGAATAAAAGAGCCGGATGATGTACCACTCTCCGTAGATTTCAAAGGAACAGATGACCTGGATCAGAAACCGCTCGCAACACGTAAGTTTTGGGTTTCGGTTTTTACAATCATTAAACATATATTTTCACGCACCACTTATGGTTGCTGTCTTTTGGCTGCCTATTTGGATAAATGAGCAGAATGGAGATTAGAATGCTGAGAGCAGAGCCAAAGAGAAGGAAGAGAATTCATATTGACGGGTTGCAAGAATATTGAGTAGATGCAGGTGGGGGCCACTGTTTGCGACAGCGAGCCATATCGCTCAGTGTCGCTAACCATCGGTTACCATGATCTCCGGGTCACCATCCAAGGAGCCTAGCGGTATCTGTGATCGAGTCTCCTGGTTGGGGTTTTCATACCCTCATGGCAAGTCTTAGTTTGACCG